TGCTAGGCACTAAGATGTGTGCTAAAAACATCATGTTGAACACTTAGTTGTTTGAAAAAGCTAAATTTCCAATAGTGAAAAAGAATATTATAAATTATGGTATATCCATAAAATGGAGTATTATACACCTGTTGAAAACTATGTCTAGAGGTAGAGAAAGCCTCTTTGAGGAGGCCAAAAACAAATAAAAACATGATAAATTTTACTGTATGAAAATTTAAAACTTCTCTTTGACAAAAGTTAAAAGGTAGGCAACAGACTAGGAGAAAGTGATTTCCAACATATATATATATAAAATTATGGTCAGAATACATGAATAATTACAAATCAATTCTCCCCAAAATGACAAAAATTTGAATTGCCAACCAACCAAGGCAATGGCATGGCCAAAAAACATTTGAAAAGGTGTTCAGCTTGACTAGTGTTAGGGAAATGCAACTTGGAATGAGAAAACATTTTTATCTCCAAAGATATACAAATATTAAAACTCTATGTGGCACTTTCACATCTTAATATATACCCCTGAGAAATACTTGCACTTGTGCACAAAGATGCATGTCAGAAGATTTCATATTATTCATTGTTTCTAACAGCACAAAATTAGAAATAACCTATATGTCTATTAACAGGAAATGTATGAATAGACTATGGTATGCCCATGCTACATATGCAGAAATTTCTAGGACTTGTTGATAATGAGAAAAGTTGTAGGAAGCCTATACTGCAGTGATTTTCAGCCTCATCGGACTGAATGTCCCATTTTATAACACATATTTATATTTTATAGCAAATGTTTATATTTGTATATTTATAACAAATATTTTGTAATGTCTCCATAACTCAATGAAGTTTGTAGATAATTGCACGTGATTCCACACCATTTCAACCAAAATTAATATAATACCATAAATATGATAGAGGAAATAAAAGGAGTTTATAGTAAAATTTTAAGTGTTTTAATATATAAATGCTCAGATTCTGCCACGTTAGAAAACATACTGAAGTAATCAAGTGTTCACTCCCGTATACATAGTCATCCTAGGTATAAAAACTAGAAATGCTAACTGATATGAATATGTTGCTTTGGTGACTAATACCATTGCCATTGGCAATGTTGTTTTCCAAAATCATGAACAACCTTTGAACATTTTCCAAATAAAACAAAGTTTAGTTTTCCTTCGATTTACACAGTGGTTGAATTCCTGAAAATTTCCGTGTATACTGAAGTCATATAAATTGAGTTAGGCTCTAGGTTCAAATGATTATAAATGTGCTTCACCTACATCACTGGCTGGAGAGCTGTTTGAAAGTCAGGAGATAGCTGGGCACTGTGGCTCACGCCTGTAATCCTAGCACTTTGGGAAGCCGAGGGGGGTGGATCACCTGAGGTCAGGAGTTCAAGACCAGCCTGGCCATCATGGTGAAACCCCATCTTAAAAAAAAAAAAAGAAAGAAAGTCAGGAGATAGACAATTCTTTGTTATGAGGTACTGCCCTGTGCCTTTCAAGATGTCTAGTGTCTTTGACTCCTCACCCATTAAATGCCAATAATGGCTGCCAGTTGTGATAACCAAAAATGCTCCCACTTATTTCCTAATTGCTCCTGGGGGTGGGGGAGGCAGTACTGTCCCTGCTGAGAATCACTATTCTAGACTATTTGAAGGTTTTCAGCACCTTCAGAGTTCACCATTCTCCCACTCTGGTGAGGGAGGCAAAGTTCCTAATTTCATTGGCCTTTCCTTATCTTACTGTAGGCTCATCAAGCCACGTAAAAGAGAGGCCTTAAAAATATATGGTAGCCAGGTGTGGTGGCACATCCCTATAATTCCAGCACTTTGGGAGGATAAAGTGGGAGAATTGCTCAAGGCTAGGAGTCGAAGACCAGCTTGGGCGATGTAGTCAGACCCTGTCTCTAGGGGAAAAAAGCCAGTGTGGTAAAGACCCAGAAGACATTTAAATCAATATATTTTCTATGCATTTTTTTTTTTTTTTTTGAGACAGAGTCTCACTCTTAACACCCAGGCTGGAGCACAGTGGTGCAATCTTGGCTCACTGCAACCTCCACCTCCTGAGTACAAGCAATTCTCATGCCTCAGCCTCCTGAGTAGCTGGGATTATAGGCATGTAACAGTATGCCCAGCTAATTTTTTTATTTTTAGTAGAGGTGGGATCTGGCCATGTTGGCCAGGCTGGTCTTGAATGCCTGGCCTCAAGTGATCTGCCCGTCTCAGCCTCCCAAAGTGCTTGGATTACAGGCATGAACCACCATGCCTGGCCAATAATGAGATTTTTTAAAGAATTTCTTCTTTTCTTTCTTCCAAACTACAGTATGTGGGCAACAGTGACAAGGGGAGTAAAAGAGGAGAGACTCACCCAACTAGAGCAGGAATAAAGTTTCCCTTGTTCAGCTTTTCAGTGTCTGCTGGAATGTGATGGTAAGTTGGGAACAGGGTGAATGGGTAAGACCTTTTTTATATAGGAAAGTTTTCCAAGTAACTGATATCTGGCAAATATTTGGGGACTAGAATTCTAAAAGAATACAAACTAGACTTCTCTTCTCCTCTCCATTTTAGTTATACTTGTACCAGGTAGAGTTGAGGTGAGGTCCAGTTACTTGAAAAGGGTAACAAGTGCAAGTTTCTTTCTTTTTTCTTTTTTTTTTTTTTTTTTTAGATAGAGTCTCGCTTTTGTTGCACAGGTTGGTGTGCAATGGCATGATCTCGGCTCACCACAACCTCTGCCTCCCGGGTTCAACTGATTCTCCTGCCTCAGCCTCCCAAGTAGCTGGGATTACAGGCACCCGCCACCACGCCTGGCTAATTTTTTGTATTTTTAGTAGAGACAGGGTTTCACTATGTTGGTCAGGCTAGTCCTGAACTCCTGACCTCAGGCGATCCACCCATCTCAGCCTCCCAAAGTGTTGGGATTACAAGCGTGAGCCACTGCACCTGGCCTCAAGTTTCTTGAAGATGGAATTCTGCCATGTTCCCCTGTGCAAAAGGATACCTATTTGCCTGCTCCACCAAACTGCCATACAACCGAAGACTGACTGTGTAAGGATAGGATCAAGTAGAGCCACAGTTTGGACCACGTGGTGCTGTGTGGCACACCTGCTGTTAGTTAGCTCCCACCGTCTGGTGCAGTTGTTTCCCCAAAGACTCAGTCCAGTTCATTCTATAAGAGACACTATAAGAACTTTGTGTCCTGTACATTCAAAGGGCCCTGGTTTATGCTTTGCTTAGGACAAATCCAGTCAGAATTCACCGGAGCCTTCTGTATGCTCAAAGCACTCATGTGCTGAGTTCCTCAGCTCCTCACTGACATTGAGTACTTTCTGACTTGCTCACTGCTCATGGATTCTGTTCTTCCTGTCTCTTCCCCAGCTGCAATACAGAAACTAGACTCTGTTGTCTACTGTTTCATTTCCTGTTAGAAATAAAAAGGGATAGAAATAAGAAGACCTTTTAGTCCTGGACTATCTGGTATTGGCCCCTAAAGTGAGCCTCCAAATACTCCTTTTCATGGGTAAGTGAATGCTCCCTAGCCTGCTGGAGCAGATCCTTCCTGGCTTTGCTACCCTGAGATATCAAGAGAAAAACATAAAGCTGGTGTGATTTTTCTCTTTTCTTTTTTTTTTTTTTTGAGATGAGTCTTGCTCTGTACCCCAGACTGGAGGGCAGTGGTGCAATCTCAGCTCACTACAATCTCTGTCCCCCAGGTTCAAACGATTCTCCTGCCTCAGCCTCCCAAGTATCTGGGATTACAGGGCCTGCCACCATGCCTGGCTAATTTTTGTGTTTTTAGTGGAGATGGGGTTTCTCTATGTTGGCTGGGCTGGTCTCAAACTCCTGACCTCAAGTGATCTGCCTGCCTTGGCCTCCCAAAGTGCGGGGATTACAGGCATGAGCCACCATGCCTGGCTGATTTTTCAATCTATAGATTAATATGTTCAAGAAATATTGCTTGGCTTTGTTTTCTTTAAATTTATTTCTGTTACCAAGAACCCCACCACCATCTGCTTTGTTGGTGGGCTCCCCACAAATCCCAGGATTATGCAAAGGTATCTAGATTTTATGTGGCACCATGATGCTGAGAAGGTCCTTCTGGTCATCAGACTGCTTCTGAAACAGCCACTATCCAGTCCTGGCAGTCCCATTAAGTCTAAAAGCTGTTTCCTTGGGACCCCAAAAGTAGGATAGGGCATAGAACCAGGATGTCAGATATCCAACTCTGTATACCATATTGCTCCTGAGAGCTGGGGAGTAGGACGCTAATGCTCACCTTATCCTTGAGAGTCTCATAATTCCTCCCCAAACTCCCAGATTCTGCCCTCTCAGCTGTGCTGTTAGTCTTCATCCCCTCTATCTCTTAAGCATCTGTCCTAATCCAAATCTCAGGATTTGGCTTTCCACAAAAGGTAATAGAAAGCCTTTGCCTTCATGTTGACTTGACTTTCCTTGTTCAGCACTTGGCTCGTTGCTTGAAAATCATGTATGTATATGTATAAAATGTAGAGGCCCAATTTACATTAATAATGTAAAAAATTATTCTGCTACACAGATTACCTCGTGTAGGAAATGAAACATACGGTATCCTTCCCAGCCTTTGACTTGAGAGTCTTCTGGAGTCTGAAGATGATGGGGCAGACAACCATGGACTGCTAGAGAATAAACTTTTTTTGAAGCTTCCTAAAAGGATTAGAAATAAAAGGTTCTGTCAAAGGGAAAGGTCTATATTGATGTTACCAGCAGTTTGATTAGATGTTTGATTTAGTAGCCAATATAAGAAATTTGTGTGAATTTTAGTAATTAGAATTTATTATAAATAATAAAACAGGGTATTAGTAATGTTATAGTATCTTTGGGATGTCACTTTTCTGGCCAGAAACGTCTGTGGCCGGGTGGTACCTCTGGCCAAGTTTTGCTTGGACCCACTGGGCTCATTGCACCCACTCAGCCTGGCAGGCTGCACTTGGCTCATGCTACTGGCCTGAGTCCCATGCCTGCCAAGGGAGACTGCATGGAGTGGTGAGGGGTGTGTATGAGGAAGTATGGGGTCTGGCTGTTAGTCAGATATGCCAGCTGCTGCAGTGGGCTGTCAGCTCCAGATACCAGTATGGGCACCTGCTTCTGCGAGGCTGCAGCTGAACTAGTCACACTGCAAACAGCTTCCAGGGAAAAGGTGGCACCCGGAAGCTTGGAGATGCCAGGAACCGTAGGGCCCCAGAGAGGGAGTAACAGTCCTGGCTCAGAGAGCTCCCAGGTTTGGGCTCCCCAAAGCTCTTCTTCTCTTTGCCCACAGCATGGTGAGCAAGGAGTCTCAGCCCTGTTTGTGTTACAGCTTTTTTAGCTTCATTTGGCGGGATCCGAGTTCTTGAATGAGGTATACAGACAAGTAGAAGGTGAGCAATAAGAATGAGATACACAGACAAGTGGAAGGTGAGCAAGATAAAGAGAAGCTTTACTGAGTGACAGTAGCTTGGAGGCTTTGGAGTGGGTAGCTTCTATCTGCAGGCAGGTCTTCCTATTGTCTCTACAGCTCTCAGAAGAGAGGAGGCCCTAGAGTGGGTAGCTCCACTGGTTGTCCCAACCAGTCCCAATGTCTTCTCAGCTCTGGCTGACCCCAGGGCTTTTATGGACCTCAGAAAAGAAGAAATTCGTACCGATTGGTCCATGCATGGCTGTGGGCATGCCCACAAAAGGTACCACAAGTTCTCACTCTGGTCCATTGGACTGGCATCCTGGTCCCCAGCCTTCAAGCTCTCCCTGGCCTGAAGGTGGGGCCTCCCCAGGGACCCATCCCCTTCTACCCAGAAACCTGTCTGCTTCCTGCCTTTCATGGTACCCAGGCTGTAGGTGCCAAGCCAAACTATCCTCAGCTCCCCTCAGCCTCCTTATTGGGCTTATTGGTGCCCAAAATCTGGAGGGGACCAAGGTGGCAGGAGGCTGGTATGTCAGCAGTGCTCCAACTTTACTCTCAGATCAGAGCAGGCACTGACAGCAGGAAGAAGAAGCTAAGCAGTGGGCGCCGGCATTTCCATGCCTACAAGGGCAAGGGGGGTCTTCCTGGGCCCCAAAGAATGCAGGGATGCTTGGGTCTGCAGCCACCATTTGGGCAGCTGCAGCTGCGCCTGGGAGGATGGGGCTCCCACCTGCTCCTCTGGTCCCTAAGAGGACAGGGATGCCTGAGTCTGCAGCCATGGCTTGGGGAGCTCCAGGGAGCTCCCACCCCAACTTGGAAGGGTTGGGTCTCCCGCTTGTCCCTGGCTCTCTTCTGCTTCATGGAGCATGCATCACTGGCCATGCCAAGCTGCTGCAGCCAGTATGATGGCAGCAGCTGTTCCACATGGCCTGCTTGTAGTATTTTGCACAATAGTCAAGATATAGAAACAACCTAAATGTCCTTCAATGGATGAACAGATAAAGAAAATATGATTATACACACACAAATACACATACAACAGAATAGTACTCAGCCTTAATTTACTACAGGCAAAAAGATAGCTTTTATCTTTTTGGCAATAGCCTAAAAGGTGTGAAGTGATACCTCATTAACATGTAGCTATTGAACACAATTGATCTTTTTTTGTCTTTTAAATTATTTTGTGATAATTTTTCTTTCTTTCTTTTTTTTTTTAAATTGAGACGGAGTTTTGCTCTTGTTACCCAGCCTGGAGTGCAATGGCACGATCTCGGCTCACTGCAACCTCCACCTCCTGGGTTCAGGCAATTCCCCTGCCTCAGCCTCCCGAGTAGCTGGGATTACAGGCACGTGCCACCATGCCCAGCTAATGTTTTGTATTTTTAGTAGAGACGGGGTTTCACCATGTTGACCAGGATGGTCTCAATCTCTTGACCTTGTGATCCACCAGCCTCGGCCTCCCAAAGTGCTGGGATTACAGGCGTAAGCCACCACGCCCGGCCTATTTTGTGATAATTTTTCTGACATAAAAATTATATTTAAGGTTTACACTTAAATTATTTTTGTGAAACATTGTGAAATGACCATCACATTCCAACTAATTAACTTATCTATTACCTCTATATACTTAACATTTTATGCTCTTTGACCAACATCCTCCATTTCCCATTCTTCTCAGTCCCTGGCAACCACCATCCTACTTTCTGCTTCGATAGTTTGACTATGTTAGATTCCACATAAAAGGGAGATCATGCAGTACTTCTCTTTCTGTGTCTTGCCTATTTTATTTAGCATAACTTCCTCCAGCTTCATTTTGTTACAAATGACAAGATTTTCTTCTTTTTTAAAGCTGAGCAATATTCGTGTGTGTGTGTGTGTGTGTGTGTGTGTGTGTGTGTGTGTGTGTGAATGTTCATATTTTCTTTACCTGTTCATCCATTGAAGGACATTTAGGTTGTTTTCATATCTTGACTATTGTGCAAAATACTACAGTGAACATGGGAGTGCAAATAACCTTTACGATCATGTAGGATTGTTTGATCATATGTTCTATTTATAATTTTTTGGGAACTTTCCTCCTTTTCTCATAATGGCTGTATGAATTTATATCCCTAACAGCAGTGTGCAAGGGTTCTCTTTTCTCCACATTTTTGACAACATTTATTATCTTTTATTTTTTTGATAATAGCCTAAAAGGTGTGAAGTGATACCTGTTTTTTTCTTTTTTCTTACCTTTCTTTCTTTCTAAAGAAGTGAAGTGATATCTCATTGTGTTTTTGATCTGCATTTACCTGAAGATTACAGATGTTGAACACATTTTCATATGTTTATTGGCCATCTGAATTTCCTTTTTTGAGAAGTATCTATTTTGGTTCTTTGCCTATGTTTTAATCCAGTTATTTATATTTTTGGTATTGAGTTGTATGAGTTGCTTACGTATTTTGGATATTAACCCCTTATCAGATATATGGTTTCCAAACATTATTTTCCGATTCTGTGGGTTACCTTTTCCTTTTTTGGATTATTTCTTCTGCTATACAGAAGCTTTTTAGTTTGATATAATCCCACTTGTCTGTTTTTTCTTTCATTGCCTATGCTTTTGGTGTCATATTGAGAAAATTGTTGCCAAGACCAATGTCAAGGTGTTCCCAATGTTTTCTTCCAGGAATTTTGCAGTTTCAAGTTTTACGTTTAAGACTTTAATCTATTTTGAGTTAATTGTTGTGTAGTATGAGATAGAGATCAAATTTCATTTTTTTGTGTGTCTGTAGATATCCAGTTTTTCCAGTACTGTTTATTGAACGGACTATTCTTTCCCAATTGCCTGTTCTTAGCACTGTTGTCAAAGTAAGTTGTTCAGTAATCAAATGAGTTTATTTCTGGGTTCTCTGTTCTGTTCCATTTTGTCTGTGTCTGTTTTTATGCTAGCACCATACTATTTTGGTGATAGCTTTGTCAGATAATTTGAAGTCAGGAAGTGTGATGTCTTCAGCTTTTTGTTCTTGTTCAAAATTGATTTGGCTGTTCAGGGTCTTTTGTAGTTCCATATGAATTTTAGGATTGTTTTTCCATTTTTGTAAAAAGTGCAATTGAGATTTTTTTAGGGTTTGCATTGAATCTGTAGATTGCTTTAGGTAGTATGGACACTTTGACAATATTAATTCTTCCAGTCTGTGAACATGAGATGTCTTTCCACTTATTTATGTCTTTATTCCATTTATTTATATCATTTATTTTGCTGATTCCCGTAAATTCCTTAAGTATTTTATTTTTGTTGCTAAAGTAAATGTGATTGCATTCTGAATTTCCCTTTCAGATAGTTCATTTTTGGTGCATTGAGGTGCCATAGAGTTTTACATGTTAATTCTGTGTCCTGAAACTTTACTGAATTCATTTATTAGTTCTACCAGTTTGGGGAGTGTGTGTGGGGGGGGGAGGGGGTCTTTTGAGTTTTCTATGTATGTGATCATGGCATGTAGAAATAATCTTACTTTCTCCTTTCTGACTTGGAAGCCCCTATTTTTCCTGCCTGATTGCTCTATGACTTCCAGTACTATGTTGAATAACAGTGATAAGAGTAAACATCCAGCCAGGCATGGTGGTGGCTCATGCCTGTAATTCTAGCACTTTGGGAGGCCAAGGCGGGCAGATTGCCTGATCTCAGGAGTTTGAGACCAGCCTGGGCAATTCTGTGCAACGCTGTCTTTACTAAAATACAAAAGAAATTAGCCAGCCTTGGTGGTGGATGTCTGTAGTCCCAGCTACTAGGGAGGCAGAGGTAGGAGAATTGCTTGAACCTGGGAGGCAGAGATTATAGTGAGCCAAGATCTCACCATTGTACTCCAGCCTGGGTGACAGAGCAAGACTCTGTCTCTTTAAAAAAAAAAAAGTTAGCATCCTTTCCTTGTTCTGGATCTTAGAGGAAAGGCTTTCAGTCTTTCACCACTGAGCATGATGTTAGCTGTGGACATTTCAGAAGTGACCTTTATTGCATTGAGGTAAGTTTCTTCCATACTTGTTTCGTTGAGAATCTATCATAAAAGGATGTTGACTTTTGTCAAATGCTTTTTCTATGTCTATTGAGGTGATCATGATTTGTGTTTCATTCTTGTTATTGTGATTTATCACATTGGTTGATTTTCATGTTAACTGACCTTGTATCCTATGGATAAATCCCACTTGACCATGGTGTATAATCATTTTAACGTAATGTTGAATTTGGTTTGCTAGTATTTTTTTATTTATGTATGTATTTATGTAATTTTTTTTTTTTTTTACAGTCTCGCTCTGTTGCCCAGGCTGGAGTGCAGTGGTACAATCTCAGCTCACTGCAGCCTCCACCTCCCAGGTTCAAGCAATTCTCTTGCCTCAGCCACCTGAGTAGCTGGGGTTACAGGTGCCTGCCACAATGCCCAGCTAATTTTTACATTTTGCTTTGCTAGTATTTTATTAAGAATTTTTGCATTTATGTTCATCAGTGATATTGCCTGGTAGTTTTCTGATGTTATCTTAAGCTTTGGAATCAGAGTGATGCTGACTTTACAGAATGAATTTGGGAGTATTCTGTTTTTGAATTTTTGGTAAGAAGGGCTAGCATTCTTTGAATGTTTGAAGGTAGAATTATCCTATGAAGCCATCTGGTCCTGGGCATTTCTTTGTTGGAATTTTTTTTTCTTTTTTGAGATAGGGCCTTATTCTGTTGCCTAGGTTGGAGGGCGGTGGTGTGATCATTGCTCACTGCAGCCTCAATCTCTTGTGCTCAAATGATCCTCCTGCCTCAGCTTACCATATAGCTGGGACTACAGGTGTACCCCACTGTTCCCAGATAACTTTTTTTTCCTTAGTGATGAGATCTTCCTGTGTTGCCTAGGCTGGTCTCCAACTCCTGAGCTCAAGTGATCCTCCTGGCTCAGCCTTCCAAAGTACTGTGATTGTAGGTGTGAGCCACCACACTCAGCGTGGAATGTTTTTGATTACTGATTCAACTCCTTGTTTTTTATTGATCCGCTCACACTTTGTTTCTTCTTGATTCAGTCTTGGTAGTTTGTGTGTTCCTAAGGATTTATCTATTTCTTCTAGGTTATTCCATTTATTGGCATATAAGTATTCATAATAGTCTCTTATGATCCTTTTTATTTCTGTGTCATCCATTGTAATATCTTCTATTTTATTTATTTGAATCTTCTTTAGTTAATCTAGCTAAAGCCTTCTTGATTTTATTGATCTTTTTAAAAAGCTAACTCTTAGTTTTTTCTATTTTATTTCCACTTTAATTTTTCTTCTACTAACTTTGAGTTGAGTTTGTTCCTCTTTTTCTAGTTCCTTTATTTGTACAGTTAGTTTCTATCTTTCTTTCTTTTTTTTTGAGACAAAGACTTGTTTTGTCACCCAGGCTGGAGACAGTGGCTCAACCTAAGTGCACTGCAGTCTCTGTCTCCTGGGTTCAAGCAATTCTCCTGCCTAGCCTCCAGAGTAGCTGGGACTACAGGCGGGTGCCACTATGCCTGACTAATTTTTTGTGTTTTTAGTTCAGATGGGGTTTCACCATGTTGGATAGGCTGGTTTCAAACTCTTGACTTCGAGTGATCCACCCACCTTGGCTTCCCAAAGTGCTGGGATTACAGTTGTGAGCCACTATGCCTGGCCAAAGTTAGGTTGAGATCTTTCTTGTTTTTTTTTGGGGGGGGGGGAGGAAGGCAGGAAGGGAGAGAAGAAGGACGGTAGGGAGGAAGGAAGGGATGAAGGAAGGAAGGAAGGAACGGAGGAAGCGGGGAGGGAGGGAGGGAAGGAGGGAAGGGAAGGAAGGGAATCAAGCAATGAGAGAGACATTGCCAACTTGGATCTAGAGGTTTACAAGTTGATTTCTTTTTTTTTTTGAGAGAAAGAAAGAAAGAAAAAAATAATAAGTAAAGGAGAGGAAGAAAGAGGAAAAGAAAGAGGGAGAGTAAATGGAAATATTGCTTTATTTTGAAAAAAATTGGGTATTAATAATGGCCCATCAATGTTTCATTTAAACTTATGGGTAGGTGTGGTGTGGTATTGACTAAAATGTATATTTTGTGTATTTGAAGTGGAGAGCTCTATAAATATTTATTAAGTTTACTTGTTCCGGATCTGAGTTCGAGTCCTTGATATCCTTATTAATTTTCTGTCTCATTGAATCTAAGTCTCCTATCTGGGTGTTAGGATCATTAGCTCTTGTTGTTGCATTGATCCTTTTACCACTATATCTTTATTGCTTTAAAATCTATTTTATCCGATACGAGAATTGCAACTCTGCTTTTTATTTATTTATTATTTATTTTTGCTCTCCATTTGGTTGGTAAATCTTTCTCCATCCCTTTGTTTTGAGTCTTTGTGTATCCTTGCATGTGAAACAGGTCTGGATGTAACATGCCGTTGGGTTTTGGCTGTGTCTTTTGATTGGGAATTCAGTCAATTTAAATTTAGGGTTACTGCCATTTGATGTTGACTGGCTGTTTTATCCATTTGTTGGTGTAAATTCTTCTTTATGTTAGTGCTCTTTACTTTTTGGTGTATTTTTAGAAAGGCTAATACTGGTTGTTTCTTTCTGTGTGTAATGCTTCTTTCAGAAGCTCTTGTAAAGCAGGCCTGGTGGTAATAAAATCTCTGAGTTCTTGCTTGTTCATAAAAGATTTTATTTTTCCTTCAGTTGTGAAGCTTAGTTTGGCTGGATATGAAATTCTGGGCTGAAGGTTCTGTTCTTTGAGGATGTTGAATATCGGCCCCCACTCTCTTCTGGCCTGTAGAGTTTCTGCCGAGAGATCTGGTGTAAGTCTGATAGGCTTGCCTTTGTGGGTAATCTGACCTTTCTCTCTGGCTGCCCTTAGTATCCTCTCCTTCGTTTCAACCCTGGTGAATCTAACAATTATGTGCCTTGGGGTTGCTCTTCTTGAGGAATATCTTTGTGGTGTTCTCTGTATTACCTGGGGTTGAATGTTGACCTGCTTTGCTAGTTTAGGAAAATTTTCCTGAATAATATCCTGAAGGGTATTTTCCAGCTTGGATTCATTCTCTCCGTCTCATTCAGGTACACCTATCAAATGTAAATTTGGTCTTTTCACATAGTCCCACATTTCTTGGAGACTTTGCTCATTCCTTTTTATCCTTTTTTCTCTAATCTTTTCTTCACGTTTTATTTCATTAAGTTGGACTTTGACCTCTGATATCCCTTCTTCTGCTTGAACAATTCGAGTGTTTAAACCTGTGCATACTTCTCGGAGTTCCTGTATTGTATTCTTCAGTTCCATTAATTCACTCATACTCCTCTCTAAGTTGTCTATTCTCAATAGGAGTTCATCAGACCTTTTTTCAAAGTTCCTAGTTTCTTTACATTGGGCTACAACATGGTCCTTTAACTCACCGAAGTTTGTTATTATCCATTCCTTGAAGAGTGATTCTGTCATCAGGATGCGCTCGTTCTCCATCAAGCCTTGTTCCATTGTTGATGTGGAACTGTGATCATCTTTAGAGGGAGAGGCGTTCTGACTTTGAGTATTCTCAGCTTTTTTATTCTGGTTTCTTCCCATCATTGTAAATTTATCCTCCTGTCGTCTTTGAAATTACCAACTTTCAGATTAGGTCTCTTGAGTGGACGTCCAGGTTGTTAGTTCCGAGGGCCAGAGCAGCAGCGTTAAAACTGTTGGTGCTTTTCTGCCCATGATTCTCCTGTCTGGCTTCCTTCTTGTGTCCGTAGTAGGTGACTCTGCCTTCCCGGGGCTCCAAACCTCGGTCAGAAGGGGAACCGGTCCCGTTTACTCTGCGCCGAGCGCTGCCACACTGAGGTGCCGTCACAGCCGCTGTGCAGGGCTCTGGTGTTGTGTTGGGGGCCCGTGTGGGTCCTCCGAACCTGTTTACTTTGCTCCGAGAGCTGCCACGCCGAGGTGCCAGCAGAACACTGCGCCAGCCACAAGAGTTGCGCTGGCCACCCATGTGTTTCCTCCACTGGGGGATCTTCTGCTCTGTGAGCGACCAGAATTTGTCTGAAAGTGAGGCATCCTCTAGTTCTCCGTGCCTTCCCTGAGAGCTGCAATCCCGGGATGTTAGCGATCGGCCATCTTGGATCGTTCTCCTTTCTTGTTTTTAAACATGAGTATTTAATGCTATACATTTCCCTTATGGAACTACTTTTGCTGATTCTTGTAAATTTTACAAAGTTGTAATTTTATATTTGTTTCAAGGTATTTTAAAATTCTCTTTTGATTTTCTGTTTTATCCAATTGTTCAAGAATGTATTGTTTTTATGAATTTGTGAATTTTTCTATTTTCCTTTTGTTATTGATTTCTAGTTTATTTCTAGTTCTGGTATAGTCACTGTGGCCCAAGACTATACCAGGTATTATGTCAATCTTCTTAAATTTATTAAGACTTGTTTTGTGACTGAACATATCACCTATCCTAAAATACATTCCATGTATGCTCAAGATGAAATTGTATTCTGCTATTGGGTAGAAAGTTCTGTATGTTAGGTCCATTTGGTGTATAGTGTTATTCAAATCAGTTGTTTATTTCTTGGTTGTCTGCCTGAATGTGCTCTTCATTATTGAAAGTGGAATACTGAGTTCTACTACTATTATTATAATGTTTTTAATCTCTCTCTTCCTATCTGTCCATATTTGATTTATATATTTAAGTGCTCTGATGTTCAGTACATATATGTGTATAATTGTTATGGCTTCCTGTTGAATTGAAACATTTATCATTATGTGATGACTTTCTTTGTCCTTAGTAACAGTTTTGAACTTAAAAGTCTGTCTGATACAAGTATAGCCACCTTTGGTCTCTTGGTTATCATTTGCATGGAGTATCTTTTTCTATCCCTTTATTTTTATTCTGAGTGTACTTATAGCTAAAGTAAGCCTCTTGTAAACAGCATATTCCTGGATCTTTTTTTCAATCCATTCCACTCTATGCCTTTTGATGGGGGGGCGGTTAATTCATTTACATTTAAAGTATTTATTGGTAGGTAAGGACTTAA